AGGATTATTAAAAGAATATAGTAGATGCTTACTTAATGTCATCTGTCTTTAATACTAATAATTATATAATGGTAATAAGATTATGGGTGACTTCCCCCTCACTTTCCAAATTGCTGTAAATATTTTCCAAGCATAAAAGAAAAACTTACAATTTCATACTAGCACCCCTCCTCAAGTGAACCTAAAATTATTTTTATCAGCTGTCTTTGACAAATTTGCTTATAAGCTTAAAATCTGTGTTTGTGCTAGGAGGTTAGCGGTAGAAAGAAAATTAAAGAGGGGGAACTGATAACTTTAACACCATACCAGCACAGACATATACAAAACAAAGTGTGGAGAGGAAAACAGCAAAAGGAAATGCTGTTTGGGAAATTCCCAACTCAGACTATCCAATGAAAAGATTAGATTCCACCCTCCTCAATCTAGCTACCTACCAGTCACTCCTCACTCTCATCTTGGGTTTATATGTACATTACAAATATGCATAGTCACTGACCTTCTTCTCTCTACTAATGGTCACCACATGGCCTCACAGTCAAAAATTGAAAGAAGAGTGAAGAAATTCAGGATGTGTAACAAAGACAAACCAATGCACTGGTTGGGAAATAACTTCATTAAAATGTACTCATTCCCAAGTGCATCTACTTATCTGCTGACAGTGCTGGGAATGCATTCCTGAAATATTTAACCCGGTTATAAGATTCTACTGCTAGAATCAGAGAAGGCACACTTTGATGCCTACTTCTCACTTCCTCTATAACAACCTTGTCTTTATAGGCATGGCTTAAAATGGTACATTAGCAAAAGTATACAACTCCAAATCACTCACAGGTGAAAATTTCAAGTTAACGTAGAAAGAATAATTAAACAATGGTAACAATAACTATATTACTCTAACAACTAACACTTACTTTACTCAGTATTGTGTGCCAGAAAGCTAAGGACTTTACACGAATTAGGTAATATCAACCCTAAACCTCTTTGAAGATGGTAATTACTAATTCCACTTGCTTAGTGCTCACACAGCTAAATCTGAACCCTGCCAATTTTACTTCAAGGCTTACACTTTTAAAACTTATCACATCCTGCCTCTTTATATATGCATAATTACATTTGCAATTGTGATTCTGTGTGTGTGTGTGTGTATATACATGCACACAGGTGTGTGTCTGTGTGTAAAGTATTTAGTGAGTCAGTAGCAAACAAAAGGCAATTCCAACTCTGTGAAGGCTTTTACCCACCGTCACAAACCAACAATAAATTGGGAATCACCCCTCTCCTCCCCACTAAGTGGTGCTCTGAAAGTACTAGTTTTACAATCATACATCACTTAAGCATGGATGTACATTCTGAAAGATGCGTTCTTAGGCAATCTGGTCACTGTGCAAACATCACAAAGTGTACTCAAACCTACATGGTAGAGGCTGCTTACACACCTAGGCTACTTGGTATAGCCTATTGTTCCTAGGTCACAACATGCTCTTGTAAAGCATGTTACTGTACTGAATACCATACACAATTGTAACATAACTGTTAAGTATTTGTGTATCTAAACACAGAACATAAAATACAGTAAAAATACAGTATTATAATCTTACAGGACCCCCATCGTAAATGAAGTCCACTACTGACCAAAAAACACCATTACGCTGCACATGACTGCACTTAACATCTTTCTCAAGAAACTAAGGAAAGAGATACCTGTAAGTAAAATATTAATCTTTTCAAAAAATTAGATAGAAAATTGATTGACTACAGGTAAACATGCTTTGTAAAGTGTAAAGAATTTTAACCTTAACACTTTATTAGGTATTTTTATTTTCAATTGTCTATTTGGCTCAAGACATATTTGTTTCTAGAGTTTGTACAAAGTCTTTCTTTTTTGAGACAGGGTCTCACTCTGTCACCCAGGCTAGACTGCAGTGGCACAGTATCTGCTCACTGAAGCCTCTGCCTCCCAAGTTCAAGCGATTCTCCTGCCTCTGCCTACCAAGTAGCTGGGACTACAAGCACGTGCCACCACGCCCAACTAATTTTTGTATTTTTGGTAGAGACGGGGTTTCATCATGTTGGCCAGGCTGGTCTCAAACTCCTGACCTCAAGTGATCCACCCACCTCGGTCTCCCAAAGTGCTGGGATTACAGGTGTGAGCCACCACACCCGGCCTGTATAAAGTATTTTAAAAGCTGTATTTCCAACTTAAAAGAAGATATACATATCAAAAGGCTTAACACATAAAATCTGCATTCATCACTCTAACCCAACTTCAATTCTACCAAAATCTAGGCTAGCAGAATTAAGTTTCATGTAACAAATCACTTATCTTTATTTTTACTTACAAGATCTGTTTCAAGGATTCCAAACGAAATGGAAAGACTACAGCTAGCAGACAGAAGGGGTAGGGCCAAGATTAGTACAAGGAGAGTGGAAAGAAAATCTCTCAGAAACGCTAACCTTAATCCAGTCTCACTTTCGCCCAACCAAGAGAAGTGTGCACTGCTGCTGCTTCTGCCCTGGCAGGCTCCTCATCCTCTTCCTCTTGAAATCCTCTGCTTTTTTCCTCCTGGAAAGTTAGTCTCACAGGGCTGTTTTCCTAACATTTCTCAACTGTCAAAGGATTTCTTATCTTGAAATTAAAAGAAAAAAAATCTACTAACTCTCCATAATCACATAAGAGTTCCCAGGAAGTTCAAAAACAACAGTAACTCCTGCCAGGCACGGTGGTTCACACCTGTAATCCCAGCACTTTGGGAGGCCAAGGCAGGTGGATCACCTGAGGTCAGGAGTTCGAGACCAGCCTGGCCAACATGGTGAAACCCCATCTCTACTGAAAACACAAAAATTAGCTAGGCACGGTGGCAGGCGCCCATAATCCCAGCTACTTGAGAGACTGAGGCAGGAGAATCACCTGAACATGGGAGGTGGAGATGGCAGAGAGCCAACATTGCACCACTGCACCCCTGCCTGGGCAACAAACTGTGACTCTGTCCCCCCACCAAAAAGAAAGAAAAAGAAAGGATAGTAACTCTATGGTTCAACTTGGCAGATCTGCAAAAAAAAATAGAATGCAGCAACTACGACCTTGGAGAAGAGAAAACACCTTTTTCATGGGAACTTCCTCTCCTTGAAGAAAGAATTTAATTTAGAGTTCTACTACCCTCGGGGTCTCCTGTGATCTTCATGTTTGTTTCTTAAGGAGAAGAGGAGATATCTTTTAGTCAACCAGCAGGGTGAGCTAGTGCTAGCATCAGTTCCATGATTCTCAAATCTCCCAAAACTCAATGGTGTAAATGGCTTGCACTATTAATAGCAATTTATTTCCCTGTAATAAACCTGAATCAAAAACACCACGTCTAGAACTGCTTCAGTCAATGCTATACCTGACAACTTTACTCAATACTTACAGATTCTCCATTTATGACACATTCTCTTCACCAGAAAAATAACAAGTGTAAATAAAAGCTCATCTGAATATGTATCCATAGTATCCACTCTTCATTCTCTTGTTTTATTTTACAAGGTTACTAATTTAAAACATTTAGAAAACACTTTTAAAAAATGGCTAAAACAAGTGCTCTATAAGATTAGGGTTAGATAACTCAACATGCCAATTTCTCTATTTGCTACAAGCTACAATCGTCTTAGGACCTGACTGAAAAGCCTTCCCACAAGAATAAGATTCACTTTTCCTTCCAGAATCATCACATCCTAAGAAAACGGTCAAAATAAGTAACCCTAAAGAACAGTATTTAGGATGACAGAAAAAAATGGACCTGACCTTTCTCTAGATTGCAGATATCCCACCACTTCTATTCTCCTTGAAACTTTCTTTTCTCCTCCTGCTACCCATTAACAGTCTCAATTCACCCAAAACACTCTTATAACTTGAAGGACAAATTAAAACTGGAAAATGTTTAAGGTTGGCAGGTGACAGACCACTTTATAACTACAAATAACCTGAAAGTGACTCTAATTTTCACAAAATGAAAGTGTAAGTAAATCCACTCACATAATATTGAAAATTGTACAAGAGCTTATCAACTTACAAAAATCAGTAATTTAAAAGCACCTGAAATGACCCATAAAAACTTTTAAAACCTTAAAACAAGTTAACTTTTTGCTAAATTTGACATTCAAAGAAGTTAAAGATCACTGTAGGGTACCACCATAAATGACAGTCACTACTTGTTCAATTTCCTGACAGACCTTAGAGATACCACTCAGTAGAAGCAGTAGTCTTAAAAAGTTGTTTTTAAAAAAAGGAACATTCTGAGTGGCACATTTGTTTATCCAACCAAAACACTATTACAAAATGAAAGACACCATTATTTTCAGCATTGATCTCATTTCTTTTCTTATGTAATAACTGGCAATAACAGCAGTTATTTCAAACTTTCAAAGAAATTTATCAAGTACCTGATCGTTTTGTAATTTTTCAATTTCTGGGTCACGACTGCATTTGGAAAACCTTAAAATTCAAAAGCAACATTGCTCTGAAACTATCCGATATTTCTGTATTTTGTACCTGATTTTGTTTCACTGAAAGTCACTTTAAAAACTAAGTTACCATATAATATGAAAGTTTTTTGTTTTTTGTTTTGAGACGTAGTCTCACTGTGTCGCCAGGCTGGAGTGCAGCGGCACGATCTCAGCTCACTGCAACCTCTGCCTCCTGGGTTCAAGTGATTCTCCTGCCTCTGCCTCCCGAGTAGCTGGGACTACAGGCGCGCGCCACTACGCCCAGCTAATTTTTGCATTTTTAGTAGAGACAGGGCTTCACCATGTTAGTCAAGATGGTTGGTCTCCATCTCTTCACCTCGTGATCTGCCCACCTCGGCCTCCCAAAGTGCTGGGATTACAGGCGTGAGCCACCGTGCCCGGCCAATACGAAAGTTTTAAACTTATTGTCACAGAAGTTCTCATGAACCTAATAATACTTAATTAACAAGTATTCTCAATAACATCCCCTTTTTTAACCATTATTAGTTGTAGATATTCACCTTCTAATCCCAGCAACATGACAAATACAAACAGCAATGGGTAGAGGCTGAAAGGCAATTTTCCATTATGCCACTAACTTAATCATCTCTGGACCTCAATATATTGTAAAAGAGGAGGGTAAGAGCAGTTGTTCTTTGATATTCCTTCCACAGTAAAACTACATGATCCAGGAAAACATTTGCTAATGTTAATGCATCTCCTACTCATTAATACAAGACTGTTCTGTATTAGAAGAAAAGCTAAAAAAAGAGAAAATATTTATCTGAAAAGAACAAGGAAATGAAAGTTAAGTAATGCTGAAAAATTCAAATTTCAATTTGAACACAGAGATCTAAACACTGATGTGTTTAAATATCCCTCCAATCAAGGAATTCTGTTAATGGCCAACACAAAACATTAGGTGTTTCAAAATCTTGTACTTCATTAGTTAATACCAACACAAAGTATGATATAATTGCAGCACAACTTTGTTAGAAATTGTAAGGCTTTTAAAAGTAATACATACCACTGCATTAATACTAATCAAGCTTTATCTTTCACCAATTCAAAAGTCTTAAGCTAGATTATAGCCTTATTATAAAACCGAGTTTTTTCTTAGCAAACCTACTAAAATGCAGTATTACTGCCACCAAGTTCCCTAGATACTTACACATGCCACTGACGGCAAACAGCCAGGTTTCCTTTCTTTGAGAAACTTTAGTTGTCTATTTTTTGAAACGTTTTCCTTCTTATGGGATCAAAAACTGTTTACAACTAAAGCAAACTACTGCAGGGAGGGAATACACAATTAAAACAAATCTACCATCCAGATGCAACAAGCGTGGAATTAGTCAGGACTGGACAGGATAGACAGTGGTGTTTTGATACTTCTGTTGAAAGTATTAACAAGACAGGACCATCATTCGCCCCCAATTATGTTTATCCCCTCGTTGAGTTTGATGATCACACAAAATCTCAAGTCTAAATATAAACGTTTTCATATTCAAAGTCAATATTACTTATACAGTTCAAGAAAACTTTTCCACTAATGTTGCTAAACCATAGATGGATCCCAACAAGAGTTGTCTGTAGAAGTCTCGTAACAAGTAACCTTTAGCTCCACCACCTAAGCTTCCAATCACTGAGAAGAGTCTGGGACAACTCATCTTCAGGTTCACGGGAGAAGTGGAGCACACCTGCTTTCCTCTGGCAGAGTCACTTCCCAGGGACACAAAGGCCAGAGAATCAGACCTGGAGAGGCAAAAAGCTTTAGCTGGACACCCACCAAGCCCTGGCAACCCAAACACTTCGAGCGATTTACCTCTTGCTGTTACTTCCCAGGCACCTAGTCGCATAAGATCTTGCAGGACGGGGGGAAGGAAGGGCTATGCGGTCCTGTCCCAAGTAAGGGGAGGGGTGTGTACAGTAAATGCCGGAGCCGGCGTTTCTGGCCACAACCGAGCAGCCTCAACGAGAGGGGTTGGTGACCGCTCTCGGCCCGCCCCGTTACTCAGTGCATTGCAATGGCGACCGCCAGGCTCCCCAAGCCGCCTGATCTCGGCCCCTTCCCCCTACTGCTCACTGGCTGCTCGGCTTCATGTGACTAAACAAAACCCCCAAGTCTAGTGCCCAGCTCAGCCCCTTTGTGTCCGCTACCGGATCCTCCGACGCCGCAGCGGAAAGGCCCCCCCATCCCTCCGCCGAGTCCCGCCCCGCGGCGGCGGCCGCCGCTCACCTCAGGCTCCGTGGCCCCCAGCGACCGCTGCGGCCGCCGCCTCCCCGAACCCGGGGCCCGGGCTCCTTGTGTAGCACCAACTCCGCCTCCTCGGCCGCCGCCGCCATCTTAGCCTGTGCGGCAAAATGCGTCCTTTTGGATGGTTGGGACCCAGCCTAGGGCGTAGCTCCCCGGGCTCGAGAGCCGGAGGCCGGGTCCCCCAAGTTCTTCCGCCACCCTCAGTCCCGCCGCTGCCACAGCCCAGAGGCCCGAAACCCACTCGGGTCCCGGCGAATCTGACCAAATAACCCCTGAAACTCACAGTTTGGTGCCGTGTGCGTCAAACCGGGGCGACGTTGGGAGCGCGCGGCGTCCCCGCGTCACACGCCGTTCTGTACGCTACTCGGCTCCAGCGGCCCCCCTCCGCTCCCCGCTTTTCGCCTCCAGCCCCGGTTCCCACGGCGCAGGCGCGCTGCTTTCCCGCCTCTGCCGGGCTGCGGGCCGCGGGGGTGGCCAGCGAGGAGCTCCCGGAAAGCTTCGCACTGGTGGAGCGTCTGGGCCAATTAGACAAACGGGGGCAGCGGAAACAGTGCACCACTGTTCTCGGGTGCCAGAAACCAAACAAGGTCACCTCCCCCAGCGCTGACCTAATCACTCCCAAGGAGGTTCCCGCCCCAAAGTAGGCACGCTCCAAATATGGTGGTGCCCAAACTCTGCAAGACCCAAGCACTAGGCATGCCTAGGCCCTTTAAGGTGGAACAGGCCCAGGTTTGAGTTCCATGATCACGAGCTTGCAAAAATCTCTGTTATTTCTTCCTGTTGAGGAAAACAGCCGAAGAATGCAATATTTGCCAATCACAACTGTGGAGTAATGGCAGAGGGAAGGTTTTAGGATCTTAAGGGGGCAGATTGTTGGGAGTTGCTTGATGGCCAGGCAGAGCATCAAGTGTGACATCTCAGTTACCCGGACAGCCTGCCCTAAAAGGTGGCCGAGGTTTGCTCCAGTTTGACTCTCTGAGGATACTCTCTCCCTGCCTTACTGAAAGTGTCATGGTTCTACGAATTAAAGTTACATAAGAAGCACCTAAGATGCTGGTTAACCCTTCAGAGAATCAGTCCTGAGAGGGTTCTGGAAATTTTCATTTTTAACAAGCCTTCACCACAGGATCCTGGGGGCAGAGAAACACTGAGTGGGCTATTATTTTGGTTTTCGACTGAGCCAACAAGAAACTGCTAACGTGTTTAAGATTAACCAAGAGTTCTTGAGAAATCTACTGGTCCCACCTTAATTATTTGGCTTCTCTGAACCTCTGTTTACTCATTAAAAATAAAAAAGTTTTCTTTAGTTGTACAGTTGTCATTACTGTGGCCCTCCAAACCCTCAAGATGTTATTGACATTCAGAAGAATATACCATAACTGCATTTATTTGAGAAGAATGAGAAACATTCTCTTTCCTATAGAATGATGCCTTCGGCAACAGCAAACAGAGATTCCAAACAACAAATATTTGACTAAACACATTAATTGCTTTATTACTTAATAGCTAACACTTGAGCGCTTACTGTGTACCAGACATTGTTCTAACTTGTTTGATTTCATTATAACCCAATGAGACAAAGAGAAGTAAGGTGATTTTCTCAAAATCACACAGTTCTTTGGGTTCTTTATCCCAGCTACTCAGAAGGCTGAGGCAGGAGAAGGGCGTGAACCAGCGAGGTGGAGCTTGCAGTGAGCCGAGATCTCGCCGCAGCACTCCAGCCTGGGAGACAGAGAGAGACTCCGTCTCAAAAAAAAAAAAGAAAAAAAAGAAAATGCAAATCTTCCTTTTTTATTTATATGAATGTGTAGACAATAAAATATAAATACGTATACATTTGCAGTCAATGGGGAAGGGGTGCACTTTGGATCATTTCATTTGCAGAATCCATTAAAGTTGGACATTCTCAGTTTACTATTGGACTTAGAACAAAAATATTATGCACTATGGAAATTCTCACATTATATCACTGTAAAAGCAGTTACTAAGAAAATAACTGTCATAAATGTGCACCACTGACTAACGCGCAGACAAAACACACAAGCAAATAGAACCACTCAGAACTCAGCCATGATCAGAAACGTGTCTCACTAATGAAGCTGCTTTTTACACTAGAACTCAGCAACTGAAGTGTAATACTGTGGAAGTCATAATAGCAGTAAAAGTAATCACAGTAATTATAATAGCAGAAGTAGTAATAGTTGATGAAACGCTGTACAAACAAAATAGATCTCAAAAACTGTCTATGAATAGGAGAAACATAATGACAGAAAACTTGAATAAAGTAATGCAAAAAGAAAAAAAAAATACACGTAAGGTCTCTGTTGAGCCGCAGACGCGGGTCTCTGTTCTGCAGGATGTGGTTTGTAAAAGTTATTAAGAATAAGGCCTACTTTAAGAGATACCAAGTGAAATTTAGAAGATGACAGAGGGTAAAACTGATTACTATGCTCGGAAACGCTTGGTGATACAGGATAAAAATAAATACAACACACCCAAATACAGGATGATAGTTCGTGTAACAAACAGAGATATCATTTGTCAGATTGCTTATGCCCGTATAGAGGGAGATATGATAGTCTGCACGGCATATGCACACGAACTGCCAAAATACAGTGTGAAGGTTGACCTGACAAATTAATGCTGCAGCGTATTGTACTGGCCTGCTGCTGGCCCGCAGGCTTCTCAATAGGTTTGGCATGGACAAGATCTATGAAGGCCAAGTGGAGGCGACTGGCGATAACTACAATGTGGTAAGCATTGATGGTCAGCCAGGTGCCTTTACCTGCAATTAGGATGCAGGTCTTGCCAGAACTATCACTGGCAATAAAGGTTTTGGTGCCCTGAAGGGAGCTGTGCATGAAGGCTTGTCTATCCCTCACAGTACTAAATGATTCCTTGGTTATGATTCTGAAAGCAACAAATGTAATGCAGAAGTACACCAGAAGCACATCATGGGCCAGAATGTTTCAGATTACATGTGCTACTTAACGGAATAAGATGAAGATGCTTCAAGAAACAGTTCTCTCAATACATAAAGAACAGCGTAACTCCAGGCATGATGGAGGAGTTGTATGAGAAAGCTCGTGCTGCTATATGAGAGAGTCTAGTCTATGAAAAGAAGCCCAAGAAAGAAGTTGAAAAGAAGAGGTGGAACCATCCCAAAATGTCCCTTGCTCAGAAGAAAGATTGGGTAGCTCAATGAAGGCAAACTTCCTCAGAGTTCAGGAGTGAGCTGCTGAGAGCTAAACCAAACAATTTTCTATGAGGATTTTTCAGATAAAGACAATAAACTTATGGACAGAAAAAAAAAAAAAAATACAGGTACTGGAAAAATCCAAAGACGAGTTATGTGGCTCAATGCCAAAATATTTAAGGAAATCGCAGTTGAGAATGAAAGTCAAGATGTGGAAAACAGTTTGACTCTGGGAGAAAATTCATAATACATTGTGAATAAAATGATGCTCCAATGAATACACCTGGTAAATGTTTTAAAGAAAGACAAAGCAAGATGCTGCTACTGGTTTTTGTTGTTGCTGTTATTTTGAAACTTTTATTTTAGGTTCAGGAGTACACATGCAGGTTTGTTATACAGGTAAACTCATGTCACAGGGGTTTTGAACAGATTATCTCGTGACCCAGTTACTTAGCCTAGTACCCAGTAGTTATTTTTTTCTGATCCTCTCTCTCCTCCCACCTTCCACCCTCAGGTGGGCCCTAGTGTGTGTTGTTCCCTCCCTTGTGTCCCTGTGTTCTTATCATTTAGTTCCCACTTATAAGAGAACATGCAGCATTTGGTTTTCTATTCCTGAATTAGTTTGCTAAGGATAATGGCCTCCAGCTCCATCCGTATTCCTGCAAAGGATGTGATCTCATTCTTTTCATGGCTGCATAGTATTCCGTGGTGTATACATACCACATTTTCTTTATCCAGTCTACCACTGATGGGCATTTAGGTTGATTCCAAGTCTTGGCTATTGTGAGGGGTACTTCAATGAGCATACATATGCATGTGTCTTTATGATAGAATGATTTATATTCCTTTGGGCACATACCTAGTGATAGGATTGCTGGGTTGAATGGTAGTTCTGTTTTCAGCTTTTTAAGAAATTGTCACACTGTTTTCCACAACAGTTGAACCAATTTATATTCCCACCAACAGTGTATTTGTGTTCTCTTTTCTCTGCAACCTCACCAGCATCTGTTATTTTTTGACTTTTTAATAATGTGGTTACTGTTAATATGTTAAAATCTGACCATATTTTACACAGTATATGAATCCATTAGTTATTACCAGATTACCAGTGAATGGAATTACCTGATAAAAAACATAAAGTAAGTTGTGGTCTCAAATGACTTGCTCAAAAACAAAATGCAATTCAGTGTTGAATAAAAACAAATAATTCCCCTCATTCCAATACTTCATAATTCCAACCAACAAGAAAGAAATGAAACATTAATCTACTACTAATAAAGTCAAGTCAAGTGTGGATTTTGCTCAGTATCCCACTAGTTCTGGATCAACCTCCTAATACCAAAACTGTAAAGCAAGTCACTCTTGTGGAACTGCAAATAGTTTAGTATGTTTGTTCATTGGAGTGGGGGTAGGGAGGATGTGTGGAGTAGAAAGAGAGATGATGTAAAGAGCAACCAAGTTTTGTACTTATTTTTGTCCCATGCTGACCTGAGCACAGAGCTTTACACATAACAGGTATGCAATAAATAATTCCATTCAGTTCAACTAACATTCATTGATCGTTTACTCTATGCAAGGTACTGTACTAGGCACTGTCAGAAAATGATGAGTAAAACAGTTCCTTGAAGCTATTCAATAGCTTTTATACTTCAAGGAAAGAGCTAGACAAAAAGGTACAATCAACTCTCAATTTACCAGGGAATGGAGGAGATAAGGAAATAGATAATAAAGTTCTCCAAATCTCAATTAAAACAAAGCCTCGTAAAACATAGTACAAAATAGATTTAGTATACACATATTTAATGAAAATTATATCTAATATTCAAGAACACATTTGCTATGCTACTCAGCGTATCATTATGCATGCCCCCTGAAGGATGTGAAGGTAAATAGAACACACTCAGCTCTCAAATATTTTATGGTGAAATGGATCAAAAGTTGCGAGTTCACATGCACATGAAACTTGCATGTTAAAACTGACAAAGAAAGAGATCAGCTCATTGTTCAACTGGTGCCTCACCTAGTGTTGATGATGCTGTGGTATTATTTTCCTCCAGAGTTTGGCTCTTAGCTTTGCAGGCTGAGAATCAGTTGAACTGGAGTTGATCAAGCTCAGTTAGATGAAACGTATAAGAGATTAATGAGTAAATCAAATGCTGATATATTAATTTACAATAAAA